CACCTTCTGTCCTCAAAATGTGCAGTAAGGAGAGCAAGAAGCCATCCTGCCGCCCCGCCATGGACAGCACCTGGATCCGCGACTTCACCGAGTCGATGGGATAAACAGCCAGCCAGAAACAGGCCCCCCCACCCCCGCCACTCACTGTGAGAGGGATGGGACCTGAAACCCAACAGAGGGACAGGCCTCAGTGTGAAGATGAAGAAATCCACCAGGAAACTGGCCCATGTCACCAGGAGTTGCACCCCAGCTCTTGCACAAGAAACAACCTTTCCTTTAAGGTAAGGGAAGCAGTAATTTAATCTTGTTAGAGCGAGGTAGCTGAAACAAGAGAAGCCATCACCCAAGGCACAGGGCTGCATGAGAGGTCCCAAGCAAGAACAAACTAAGAGAACAAAAGCAGGGACTTCCTGAGCTAGTCTGAAAGCCAGGCCCTGGGGCACTGGGCAGTGGAACAGTGCAAGCCAGAAGCAGAGTGCTCGTAGCATGGCCCCAGGGGGGCCAGGCAGAGCTCCTAGAGCACAGGGCAGCTGGCTGGAGAACAGGTTCAGATTTCAGACCAGAGAAACCTGCATGCTTTCTTTGTAAGAAAAGGGTCTGCCCTAAGAAATAACTCATAATTAATTTTTCCATCTCCTAGAGCAAGGCCCCAAATGCTGGCCAGCTGCCAAGGGGTGACCTTCTAAATAATAAAGACCCAGAAACAAAGGGGGATGGAGCCCAAGACTGTGACAAAAACTAGTCACTCCAGACACTTCCTTTCTTCCTCCAAGTGATCTGGCATTCCCTTCCAGGACCCAGGGTCTCCGCTTGGTCTAACCTTGCTGTTCTTGTCCTAACCCATGAGGTGCTGCTGCTTCTGTCATCATTTGCAGCTGACGGCTTGAGCATATGTTCTTGTCCCTCTCACCCCTTTGACAGAGATCCCAGTGACTGGGACTAACACTGGCTCACTACATCTTTGTGAAGGCAACCGAATGGCCCAGCTCCTTCCACTCTCCTGATTCCCTGCAGAGCACCTGGAGGGCAGATCTCCCTATTTCCCCCGTCCCCAGTGCTGTTTACCCAGATCTTCCTTGACCTTCCCAGCCTGAGTGAAGAAGCTTCTACTGACTTCATAGCCGCCAAAGAAGAAGAAGTAGCCAGGTACCTCCCGCAGCCATGTACTGGTCAGACCCTGGAAAAAGCCCAGCAGGCCCTTGGAGTGAAAAATGGCTTTCACCACAGCCCAGGTCGAGCTGCAAGAGAGAATGAGAGCAAGCCATCTGAGAGAGAAGCCACCAATGCCAAGCTGTGCGCACGACCTGGCCCAGCACGGCACTCTGTAGCTCTGAACCCTGGATGAGTCTGGTGCCCAGCACTGACTGGACATGCTTCAAGCAAACCAAACCCCCCATCCCCTTCCCATGGACATGCAAATGGTCCTCCCAACCTATTCCTTGGAAATATGGACAAAAAACAGACTGAAGAACAAGGGAGCCAGGGAATTGCAGCACCAGCACTCTGTGCTGCGACATGGGAGCTACTCGTGACCCTTGCCACAGTACAACATGCCCAGGAAAGGAGGACGCTGCCTGTTCAGGGTCCAGAAGGGCTGGGGTTAGGTTGTCTCATGCAGACCCGCAGTGCTTACAGCCTGGCCAGGAAGGATGAAAGCTAGCTGCAGGGCTCTGGCCAGGAGACACCCTTGGAAAGGCCACGTCTGCACTGCCTTTGTTCAGCACGCTATGATTCAGCAGAGGGGAAGCATCTTGGCTGCTGCTTTCCCAGCCAGAAGGGCCTGAGACCCTCTACTTGTCTGTAAACACATCCACCCACTTCCCCAGGGGAGGCTGGACTTGTACCTGTGACAGGATATCGCTGCCCGCCCAGTTACTTTCATCTCATGCAAAGCCTGCATGCGGCACTTCACCAGCTCAGTGGGACACAGGACCATGGAGGAAAAGACAGAGGAGAAGGAGCCAGCCAGCGCACTGTGCAGGTCACTGACATGAGAGGACACGGGACACACATATAGTGGAAGGAGCTCACCTCCTGCAGCATCCACCCTACAGGAGGTATGGGGCTTCATCACGCCTAACTGAGGAGGAGACTGCAGGGCCCCACATTGCCCGCTGCAAAAGGCCACTCACCAAAGAAGTAACCAAGTCACAAACCTCCCAAAATGGGGGCATCCCAACCAGCACCTGAGTGCCCCTGTTCCATCACCCCACAGACCCCTGACTGCAGCGTACCCCATGCCCAAGAGCCCTGGGAGACACCCATACCTCAGCTCCTGCACGCTGCCCAAGCCAAAGAGCTGCCTGACCAGCTGCTGGCAGAACCCGTAGCAAGCAAACAGCATGGCGTTCTCTGCCACATTGGCCAGCAGGGCTGGCAGGGTCCCCTGGTACAGCCCGCGGAGCCCCTCCTGCTGGTACGTCCTGATCGAGCAGTCAAAGAAGCCCCGGTACATGGTGGGGAAGGTCTGCATCTTCACCTTGATTGTGTCAAAAGGCTGCCCGCTCACCACGCATGCCACACCCCCTGCAGAGAGACACCCCTCAGTGCTCCCCGTGCACTCCCAGCACCTCAGCGGTGTTGCCGAGTCCACTTATAATAAGCAGAATTGAGCTTGGTTTTTTAAGTTGCTTTTATTTTTTGAGTCATGGGTTGATAAGCACCCCCCCCAGCCCACTCCCCTCCCTGAAATGGGTTGGGCTTGTTTTTAAAGGCAGTACTGCTTTTCTTTCTTGAGAGACTTGGCAACACTGCTCCTCAGTGCCAGCCACTCAACCCATAGTGCCCAGCCCCAGCCCCTCAGTGCTGCCCACTCAACCCACCCATCCCAGCCCTCTCTACTGGCCAGTCATCCCACAGGGCCCAGTCCCAGCCCCTCAGTGCCAGTCACTTGCACCATAGGGCCCAGCCCCAAAATACCAACCCCTCACATGACAAATCCCAGCCCTGGCCCCTCAGCGCCAGCCACTTGCCCAATCCCAGCCATTCACACAACACATCCCAGCCCCAGCCCCTCAGTGCTGGCCACACGCCAGGCCCCAGACCCCGCAGTGCTCAGGTCCTGTGTGTGAGCCTCCGTTGTCCCCGCCCCCCATCCCACCTGAGGAGCTCAGTCTGCTCCTGAGCCTGGGCCTGCCTCCTCTCTGAGGAGTCGGGTTCAATCCCTGCTGCCTACAGCTCATGGTCCGTTCTCTGGGGCTTGGCCGTGCACTGGTCTTAGAGCTCCCGCTCTTCCCTGGCCATTCTGGGGAGTCCTGACAAGCTCCCAGGTGGTTCTCCTAACCGCCCCCACCTTCCGAGACGGGTCCCCGTGGCCCACACTTACCTGCTGCCCCTGCAGCGAGGTGAATGAGTGCCTGCACCAGCGGGTGGCACTTGGCTTCTCCTGCGGACATCACAGCAAATGGGGCCACGCTGGGCCCTGGGGCAGGAGCTAGGCTGGAAATCAAAGATACTGGCAGCTCAATGGAGCATGGAGAGGTTGGTCTGAGACAGCAGAAGAAAGGAGCACCATGAACACCCTGCTGTAGATCCCTCCCCGTAGCTGGTGTCCTAGGTCCCCTTGGAGTCAGAAGGCAAAGGCTTCCCCATAACAGGTGTAATAGTCAGCACCTGTAAGTGGCACAGGACTAGGAAGGTCTGGGAAGACACTAGGGTACAGCGAGATGGAGGGCACTGGGGGCAGAGAGATTTGGGAAAAGCTGTAGGGAACTGGAAGCTGTAATGGCTAGGGGAAAGGTTGTGGGGGTGCAAATTGGGCTGGACAGGCAGGACCGGGGTCACATGGAACAGGGCAAAAGGGGCTATTTCTGGGGTCAGGAGTAGAGACACTTGGGCAGGTGTGAAGATCTGGAACGGGAGATATGGAGAGTGGTCCTGTTCAGTTCTGTCCACGGTGGATTAGGGCTAGAGCAGCAGCACAGGCAAGGGCAGAAACACCCTAGCTGGGCTCAGGGCATGTTCAACACTGCTCCTCCCTGGAGCAGGCTGGTGAGCCAGGATCAGGGGTGGTACTGGGACAGTGGAAGCACTGAGGTGTGGGACACAGGAAGACAGTGCTAGGTGTTGGGGTTTCTGGGTGTGGAAGAGCGTGCCAGCCAGGGGACTGGGAAGGGCTGTCAGGTCAGGGCACGATGGAAGGTCCTCCACCAGACTGCATTAAACCCGGATTCTGTTTACACAGATTTGTGCCGCGTTCCCCATCTCCCAAGACTGAGACCTTCTGGGACACGTGACACTCCTCCAGGCCAGACCTGTGCTGCATCCTCAGCTGCAGCAGGAAAGATTTTTTTCTGAATGGTTTTTCTCCATGCCCTGAAGGGGAGCCCTGCCATGGCCCTGACCCACCCCTGAGAAGCAGGAACACTGTTAGAGCACCACAAATAACAGTTTGCAGGTTTAAATCTTGTTAGAAAAGAATCTCTCTGATTTTCCTCAGTTATATAGTTCTGAACCAACTCCTACTGTGACTCAGTGCAAAAGGTGCAAAAACATGGACTCCATACATACTGCTGCTCTAGCACTTGTATAAAGACCCCTTGGTCCCTGCAGGCTTTTGACTTTATCAAACGTTAGGCCCAGTGAAAACAATGCATCTACATGCAGCTGGAATCTGTAAAATCTACAAGTTTCACAAAGGGAGCAGTTTAAATGGGCTAATTAAACAGCCCAAGCTAAGATGCCCTCAGCCCACTTCAGAGAACCTGTGGGCATGTTCTCACAACTTGGAAGAAGCAAGTTTCATGCGGCAGTTTCTATATACTCGGCGTCCAGGCACAACTGACCCTGGGGACTTTCAAGATACAGACTGGACTGCTGTGATGCCCAGTCCTGACTCCAGGTTACAGCTGTTCAGTCCAGACTACCCACCACCATTCAGGCTCCTTCAAAGAAACCTCTTCTCTCTCCACAGAGCCAATGTACAGGGGAACATGGAAGGAACGGGTTAGAGGAAACTGACAATCCTGAATAAGAAATTAACTACCATATATCCCAGCAGCCAGTTTCCCCCAAAGCATCACACCAAGGGGAGGTAAGAAAGGGCCAACTGTGATGTATCCCTCTAGAGCAGTGGTTCTCAACCGCTTTAGATCTGAGGCACCCCTTGATATACTCAAGGCCCCCTCCATAACTTCTGTGAATTGAGCAGCACCCCATTTCAAAAACTAACTTATTACTTCCTTGCACAGGGGCCAGCCAGTGGGAGCAGAGCACAGGCAAGGCAGGAAGAGCCTGAGTATGCACTTATCTCCTCACACCTTGAAGCACCCTTTAAATCATCTTGAGACACCCCTGGATGCCCCACCACCCTGGTTGAGAATCATTGCTCTAGTGACACATTTAATGGAGCAGCAAAGTTGTTCCAGGATCATACCTACCTCTAAGTAATTCAATCCCTCTCAGCCATATTTCAATCATAAAACAAATCAGTGAAGTCAATGGCTGAGGCCGTGCCAGCGCCTTGGGACATCCATAACCCCAGCCCAGCTGGAGAGATTTAGACTGTGGCTAATGTACAAGCAGAAGCTCGTGGACAGAGCCCAGTGGCTGGTGGAGCTTACTGCCCCATTGACTACGAGTTCAATGCTTCAGGGTTACACCCTTCTCCTTTAGTTCATGACTTGTAGGGCAGCATTCAGCAGGCGTACAACTGTTGTCACCTCAACCTCCATGAGGATATGAAGCCTGACTTATTGTGTGCGCCTTAGAGCAAAGGAAGCAAAAAAATGCACCATGCTGTCAAAAGAAACAGATAGGGCGAGTGGTGCGTCAGTGGATACGTGCAGGAAGGACTGCTCTGATGAACCCTGCCAAGTGCAGTGAAGGAGCAGAGGTTGCAGAAGCACTGGTGTGAATGAGGGTCAGCACAGGACATACCCAGTGGTCCTCTCTGGCTGCCTGCCTTTGCTTATCAAAGAAAGCTCACTTACGAAAAAGCAAGGGAAGTGCAAAATGAGGATCAGCAGATGTGGAGACTGGATTACCTTACCTTCCCAGAGTATACCAGCTTCTACACAGTCCAACTGGGAATTCCTGTGGGAGCCAGACGAGTTGACGGCCAGAATTAAAGGAGCATGCAGATATCGATAACACAAAGGAACTAGAGACAAGAACATGGCAGAACTTGCAAAAATCTACTCACCGCCCTGAGGAATGGAGGACAAAGCCACTTGTGCATGCAGGAGTTCAGCCTGAGACGTCCTACTTCAGGGAAAAGCCTTGCACTGGCTTGTGGACTAGTCATTTTAGCATCTAGTGGATGCTTGCTCCCTTAGTCAGGACCCACTTTCCTTCCCTCTGGCAGCCAAATACTACCCCCAGAAGGGATTCCAAAGTTGCAGATTGGAAGAGCAATATTAGGAAAGCGTTTAACAGACTTCTGGCTTCTTTTAACATGAGTTGGCAGGCAAAGCAGAAGAGGTGAAGCAGCACCGCACAGCTTGCCAGCCCTCCGTAGACCAGTTAAGGGTACCTCTGGGTCACGTGACCCAGCTCTGATTTTCTAATTCCAGTACTGACCAGCCAAGATACTCTGTTTCTCTGAGCCCTTGGGCAAGCTACAGCCAGAATCCTGATTCTGGTGGCTTTGGGCTCCAACATGAAGTCATTCAAAGGAGGATAAATCTCCATATGATTAAAACGCAACTCTTCTGGAGGCAGTGTAAGAGGTGAATTTCTACAAAGTGAGGTAAGGAAGCAGCACAGCCACGAGGAGAGAGCAAAACTAGGTCATGTCACATGGCTGATATCGGAGGTGCTGAAGGTAAAGTCATAATCACCATGCGGGCCAAAGATGGATTTCTGATGCTGGGAAAGTGGGAAGCGGGCGAGTAGTCAGGATGATTTCTGAGCTAAGACATATCACAGTTGTAATTTCTTTCTGGCCCAGGCTCTCTCAGAAGGCCTAACATCTGTGCAGGCATTTTTCCTTCAGTCACACACAGACATTTAAATGTGTCTATGAAGGCAAGCAAGGTGTGCATGTGTGGATCTCTGCTTGCTGGGAACTGGCCTTCTCTAACTCTGTGGTAAAAGCAGAAGAAATCAGGGGGCCCTCTAGTTTGGGATCTCAGCTCTAGCAGTGAATGGCCTACAGGAAGGCCCAAAAAATTAAATTAAGCATTCCCATAAGGAAAAGCACGCTTCAGGTCTGTGGGGGTCACAGGGGATGGTTCTAAACCAGGGGCAGGCAATTATTTTGGGCAGAGGGCCGCTTACTGAGTTTTGGCAAGCCATTGATGGCTGTATGGCAGGCAGCCCAGGGCAGGTAAATATTAATTTTCTAAATTTTTTAGGGCTCCCATGGGCCAGATAGAATGGCCTAGAGGGCTGCATCCGGCCCCTGGGCCACATTTTACCCACCACTGTTCTAAACGCAGTAGAAGAAGCAATGTTTCAGTCTTCCTCTCTCCTGGAACGCTTTAAGCCAGTGGCCAGTTGGATCTAAGAGGTGCAGGGCCTGTCTGCAGGCCGGATCAGGCCCTGCATGCTCAATCTAGCAAGCCACCCACAGGGCTCCCCAAGTCCACAAACAGGACAGCAGGGCAGCGGCAATTGGCTCCGCTGCTGTCAGATTCTCAGGCCTGGGAGAGGCCTGTAGGTTGGATGACATCAGCCCGTGGCCAGATCTGGTCCACGCTGGGGGTTGGGCACACTCGGTTTAGCCCAGTCCACAACAGTCGAGTGTGCCGCACCAATTCATGTCTCAGCACAGCGAAACCAAGACCATGGGACTGCCACTCTCACATGGGCCTGCGGTCTCCCTAGTGCAGGGCCCCATCTAAAACAGCTGCCAGCACCTGATGTTTCAGAAGAAACCGTCAATGACAATTATACATCTATGGACGTTCTTTTCACAAAACGTTTCACCTTTTTAAATACTATTAAGCTGTTAGAGTTCCTATCATATGGCAATGGCAATTTTAAAGGCCATGCGGTGTTTTTAATGGATTTCCTTTCACCTCTTCAACACTGGTCGTCTTTAATTTCATGGTCTTTCCATTCTTCTATTTTGCTCTGTGGAGGTAGACAAGAATGCCATAGTGAACTCCGCCCCCCCCCCACAATTGCAAACTATCATCTGTACATAGTTCATCAAATCCAGTCTCATTTGTCTCCCCCCTAAGCTAATCAGTCCTAATCTTTTTAATCTTTCATCATCTGAAAGGTTTTCTGACCTCTGTTCTAGCCCTTTTTCTGGGCTCTGTTTCTTTGTAATCTCTGAGAGATGGGTTGACCAAGGTGAAAACTGTATGAAGTCATAGTTTCATAGTTTCTAGGGTCGGAAGGGACCTGAGAAGATCATCTAGTCCGACCCAGTCAGAGTACACCATTCATTTAATCACATTAGAAAACAGTTCTTTCTCCATTTCTTCATGAAACACATAATCATTTGTGCTTTGTTGACCAGGAACTAAAAAAAATTCTGAACAAAGCTGAGGTCTCCAGAGATTCACAGCACTTTTCTGAAACCATTTTGCATCCATCAAAATTCTGTGCTGCAAAAGCACACTAGTTTGCTTCTGCTAGCCCAGCACTTCTCCTACAGTTTCTCCTTTCACTACATTTGACTTGGATAATTACTCCTTTTCTTGTTAGAGATCAGTGTGATAATTGCATTAGCCGTCTCATCTTCTCCTCCTTTGACAGAAATCATGTAAAATTTCACTCGAACACAAACATTCCTGAACGAACAGCAGCAAAGATTCCAGAGCTGCTGTTTGCAATGTCTAGTAAGAGAGAGCTGCAGGTTGTAAAGTGTGTTACCAAAGCTAGGACTGGTCCTTACATGCTTCGTGAGCAGATCCAATCCAGGTTGGTTTAGTTCCAAGGCTGCACAGGTCAGAGAAGTACTCCTCCACTTGGACAATACTCAGGAATGGGAAATCAGTTTGATCACAGTCTGCAGCTTATCCTCTGCATTAGAAGATGCCCTTTCTTGCCTTCCTGATTTGCCTCAATTACTGTTCCTTACCCAGTTGCGTATGGAAAGCATGCTCTTCTGGCTTCTTGCATAAAAGCTGCCAGCACACTTATGCTTCTACCTTTTACTTCACAGCAACCACCAACATGGATAAGATGCCTCTCTTTCTCCCCACACATCCCACATAGTTCCAAGAACTTAAACCCTCTGTGTTTATTACTGGATCCTGGGCACAAGAAAGATAAATCTTCCACCCTTCTGATACTGCAGAGAAAAGATATTGCAGAATTAGAGGGAGTTCAGAAGAGGGCGAGGAGAATGAATAGGAACCTGAAAAAGCTCTTGTGAAGAGAAGCTGTACGGCTTGAGATTGTTTATGTAGAAAGAAGAGAGGTGAGAGATCATATAGACATATATCAAATAATGCAGAAAGCAGGGAGAACTCCTGCTCTCATCTCGTCACACAAGGAGCAATTCAACGACACTGAACATGTTCAGCAAACTCAAAACAGGTAAGAGCAGTGATTCTCTACCAGGGTGCCATAGCATCCCGGGATGCCTTGAAATCCTTTCAGGTGGGACATGATATTAGTACTGGTGGGTGTATAAACACGATTCACAAGATAAACCCAGAGACTTAAAACAGGAATCCAGACTGCTTAAAACATTCTGCTCTGTTATGGTCTTCCTGAGTTTTTTTGCAACAAAAGAATTGCTCCATTTTTTTCTGTAGCCCCAAAATTAGTGAAACTAAAGAGCTGGCATTTTCCAAAGGGTGCCTCTCTTAGAAGTGGGGTTTGAGAGTGCAAGTTTTGCACATGGGATTAAACTGTGGGACTCACTGAGGCCAGCACGTCCGCTGGGTTCAAACACAATTTGAAAAGTGGAAAGAAGTGTTAGCAGAGCTAATACTAATAAATGCTGCCGGGGTGTACATCATGCTTCAGGGCTTAACACACTCTCTAATAGGGGCCAGGAAGAACCCAATGGGTGCAAATGATTCCACCTCTGCCTTACACAGGGTCCTTAGCTCTCCCCTAAGGCAGCTGGTGTTAGCTGCTGTTGGGAGACAGGCACTGTTTTAGACGGACCTGAGATCAGGCCTAGTAAGGCAGGCCCTAGGCAAGGGACAAGCAGTGTAGGAAATGGCATCCTGGTTGCAGCTCAACTTTCTGGCAACTGTGTATAAAGCACAGGAGTGGATGGGGTTTCCTGGACTCCTGCTAGCGCACTCGCAATGTCATACAATCCTGTTCATAACTTGATCAAGCTCCTCTCAAAGCCAGTAGTGTTTCTGGTTTAAAGAAGCTGCCTCACCAGCAATCCTATACCTAATAAGTGGAGCAAATCTGGATTAGGATTTTGGGGACCTAACTCTGCCTGGAAGGGAAAGGAATAGCGGCCACCTCCAATGCCATAATGAAAAATAAGGCTAAGTGAATGGCTCTTCAGTCTTTGCGGTCAGCAAGAGCTCTGCACAGAGAACAGGAATATGTGGGGCTCATGCTCCTCTCAGATCACCTCTCTCTGGGGAGATGACAATACCTCCCTGTCCCCTCTTCTCCTCTTGCTGATGCAGGCTCTTGTGTCTCACTCTCTAGCAGGCAGCTCAGCATGCATCGGCCCATGGTTTCATTCCACCCTTTCCAACAGTTCTGTGGCTGAGGCAGACAGAAGTTCTTTCAAGGCAGGACCAAGGACTCTCTACTCCCTTCTCCTAGGCAGAGTGGCTACAGGAACCCTCACAATTACTTTTAGTACAGAAAACTGGGGGCTGCGCCCACGCTCAGAGTAAAGCACAGATCCCCATGCCCTCAGCTCTCCAGAAATGTTTTTCATGAGAAACTGGCCCTACTATTCTCCTTCTCTAGCCCCCAACATCTTGCCCCTAAGCAAAGAGACATGATCCCTAGGAACAGGTAGCATTGAGCCAAAGGCTCCAACGGAAACAGACATACCATGACCTTGATACAGGAGGTGCAGCCTTGAACAGCAGCTGTCTTAGGTGAATAGGAACATAAGGTGAATACAGGACCACAGGAAACCAATGGCACTATCTGGGTGAGATACAGGACGAGATAACAGGGTTGAACCAGCATAACCCTTATAACCTGATAGGGTTCTTTGAAAAGTTAAGAATGCAGTCAATAAAGAGAGGTGACATGGGGCAGGTAACCTTGCGCAGCTTCAAAAAAACACAACCAAAACACAAAAACTGATAAAGGCAACTCGTAAAATACTTAAGGGAAAAAACAGCCATGACGTAGTGAGAAATATAGTTATACAGTTAAGTGACAAGAAATGCTGCCCCCACCCCTCTTCACTGGACTCCAGATTTTAGGATTAGGTTTGCTGCATACCATGTTATTCAAGGGACCTGATAACTGGGTTCCTGGCTCTATGTTCTTCTCCACCTATGCTTAAAAGCCAAGGATGCTGCAGGGTTGGTAAGGCCTGGCTTACAAAGACAGAATGGTGAGATGAAAGCAGAGCAGAGAGAAGCTGGTGAACACTGCTTGCATGCTCCACTGCTTTGCAAAAGGCCAGTGCTTTGCAAACTGTGTGGACAGCTTTTCTGGTTCTCTCTCCTACCTCAGAGACTCCAAAGACACAGCAAGAATAGCCCCCACTGCCCCTCCAATCCTTCCAGGTATTCAGGGCATGTGGTAGGGAGTAGGACCATGCAGAGGCTCCATGCTAAGGATACCAGTTACTGACAAGGCACTTCTAGGTCTTTAAGCATCCTGTGCATGCTCCTTCTTGTGGGATTGTGCCCAGCAGTGCCATCCCAAGGAAGGACGCGCTCAGGGGACAAGGACAGATTTACTAAAGCAAGAATCAGTTTCAGATGCCAGGTCAAAACTAATTTCAACAAACAGTAAGTGAGGAAGTGACTTAAAATATGTATAGAGTTTTAGATAACAAGCTTGCAACAGTCCATGATGCAGATCATGTGAAAGCTGCTGTGGGAGCTGCCCCAGACCTACCTCAGCACATTTTGTTACCGCTAGGTTTTCAGACACCTACCAAGTCGCAGCAACAGTAACATGCAGTCTGATTCCTTTGGACAGTCATGGCCTATCCCCTGTATGCACCCAAAGTCTCAGAGACCTTGGACAAGTTTGTCCAAGTCTCAGAAACCTTGGACAGGTTTGGTCCTGTACATAACTAGATCTGAAGACAGAGACAGTAATCCATGTTAGCCTGCAATAATCAGAAAGAAGTAGCACAGGGTGGCCTCTAGTTTCTCTTCAAATGGCATCTGATAAAGCTGTTGCCTACAAAAGATCATGCCACTGAACCAGTTAGTCTCTAAGAGGCTATCTTGCATGACTCTGGCTGATTTACTACCACAGTCAGCATACTAAGAATGGGGCCTCACTGTGCCAGGCACTGTAACAACACAGAATAAGAACGTGCCTATCCTGAAGAGCTTACAGTGTAAATAGATAACACAGGTACAGCCTGGAAAAAAAGGCAGAACATATAAGTAGAGCTAACTATGCAATACAGCAGATGTCATGCTAACACATTCCACATATATCTGACTATTTTAATCGTTTCAGTGGTGTTCTCTTAGAGGTGATACATTAGATATAAAGTCGAAGGAAAGGAAGAAGCTGGAAACTAAGGAAAAAGAGTTGAAGAAAACAGCTGGTTAGCACAGGGGAGTGTTCAGAGAGAAAACTCAGACTGCAGTTTGAGCACTGCCAGTCATTCCTGCAGATGCTGTACTGATCTCAGCTTCTGGCTGGCTCCACCCTGCAGTTTCTTCCCCAGTGGCTGCATGGCAGGAAGAAGATGGGAATAAACAATTTATACATTTGAGGCATATGAAGTACTTTTAGAAATTAGACTTTTGGACTTAGGGTGAGAATACAGAAAGGAATACTTTTTTTCTGTATTGAATATAGTGCATACAAAATACAGCAATTACTAGAGGTGTACATACATCAGCTGTATATCATGTCAGCACTAATAAAAGGAAAATTAACATTACTGACAATCGGCTTTTGTTGGCCGGTGTACCTAATAATCACTGATAAATGCTGCATGCATGCACGCGGCCAGGAATGCAGTGCGGGGGCTCCCCATCATTGCGCTCACCCCTGGGGGAGACATGGGGGGGCATGTGCCCCCCAGATCTGTGTATAGGGCAAGGGCAGGCTGCCTGCTGCAGGCTCAGGGCCAAGGACTGTATCAGCCTCTTCCCAACAGCGGGGTAGGGCTGGGCTTGGGGCAGGCGGTGGCAGCACTGGGAGAGGGGAGGGCTACAGGGTGGGCTAGAGCCACGCCAAAATCCACCACAAGCATCCTTCCCAGCTCTGCCACCTGCCCTGCCCTGAGTACAGCCCTGTCACTGAGACAAGGCTGGTGCAGCCTCTGGCCCTGAGGCCACAGCAGGCAGCCCACCCTCAACCTGAGCACAGTCCAGGGGGCACATGCCCTACATGCCTCCCCCAGGGGTGCGTGCACAAAGGCCTCCGATGTAGCTTGATGAAAGACATCACTTAGTTGTACTGGTAAGGAGCCACTCTTGGCAGGATGGTTTCTGCATGTTGAGCCTTGACAAACCTCAAAAGCAGGCAACATTTTCTTTGGGAATGAGAGTACATCCTTCTTCACATATGAAACTATGAAACATACAAAAAGCACCCCAGACTGGGACAATGTATACAACTTTTTGAGAGCCCAGGTTGACAGGAATACAGGCACGGATGCCTTGACATCTCAGAAAGACATCTATGACAGGCGGCCATTCAGGGTAAAACCCAAGGCTACAGAAAGGACAAAGTGTAGGATACAGAAGCAAGAGCAACAGCTCGAACCACAGATTCGTTAAATGAAATATGCTGATCATGAGAGTAATCCATCACTGGGAAGATGGCAGAAAGAATACAACTGGGCTGCTGAAAAATCAGTGAGAGCTGTCTCTGCGGCCCAGTAGGGAGAAGCATTTTCTTGCACCAGCTGGATAGCAGAAAGCCCCATATAAGAAAGTCATATGGCTAACAGTATATGAGAATTAACACTCTTCTAGCAGGGCACTCAGAGAGCCACTCAGCTCAAGGATACTTATTTGCATACTAGTTCTGTATCCTGCGGCTCAAGAATTATAAATTGGTAAGTTCCAATCCTAGATGACTAGCACAGCAGATAGAAAAAGGAAGGAATGTTCCTTATCTGGACTTCCCAACAACATAAGGTACATACATTGACCTAATACTTCATGTCAGCAGGATGCAGCTGTATGCTGTTCTCACCCTTTCAAGAACTTGCTGAGTCTCACAGAGGAGCAACCAGGACAAATGGCTCCATGGTCATGGCTTCCAGCAGAGCCTGGCTGATATCTT